GATTGGCGTCCAACAGGATGACCATCTTGCTGCATAGCTAAGATCCAGGTGACCAAGTCCGCCTCGTACGATGGTGGCAGGATTGGCATTGGTCCCAACATTAGACTGATTTCGGAGATGCATTCCGTGCCGGTGCCGTATCTGTATCCTGTACATATTTATAAATTTGACGGCAACTCTGAAAATGCAAGTGGGATGCCGCCAAAAAGTCTGATTTGGCGGCAAGTTTCACCTTTGCCGTGTCCGGATACATTCTCTTTTTGTTCTGCCACGCTCACTTCCTTCACGGAACGAGGATGGCCGAGGCTGCCGAGGACTCCACCGAAACACTCGACAAGAAGTGGTGGTCTGAGGACGACGACATCTTGCTGCTAACGCAGATCAACAACGATCGGCCGTTCTTGCAACGGCAAGCCACAAAGGCATGGGAGGCCATGGCGTTGACACTGCGTGGGATCGATGAGTTTAACCAGCAAGGAATCGACGGGAAGAAGGCCCAAAACCGTTTCCTTCTGTTGATGCGTCAACACAAGACGCGAAAAGAAACGGCGGCTCGGCTGTCAGGTGCCGCGGAGGAGGAGACAGCGAAGTCCCGACTGCTTGATGACTTGGCGTCGCTGTTCAATGACGCTATTGTGAAGCGCAAGAAGGCTGCGGCTGTTGTGGATGCTGCCGAGAAGGCAGAAAAGGTCAAGTTTGTTCGTGAGCAAGCAATGCAACGTGGACGTCGCCAGTCTTTCTCGGACTCTTCTGATGTTGCGGAACCTACTGTCACCAGCAAACGAAAGATGATCATGGATGCCCATGAGATGGAAGTCGCGCTGGAACTAGAGAAATTGGAGTTCAAAAGACTCAAGTTCGAGCGTGAGCTGGAAGAGCGTGCCAAGGGCCGCGAGGAGCGTGAAAAATAACGACTGGAACGTCAACAAATTCGTGAAATGGAGATCCGTCGAAATGATGAGATGATGAGGATTCTTAACCATTTCATTCATAAAGTTCAATCCAGTTAACATGATGACAATGAACAAGTAATGTTAACTTTATCTAATTGTCAAGTACTCTTTAAGTGATGGTGGCTTCAATTGGAAGTATTGGCTGATTTGATTTCCGCCCTTGTAGCATGTTTGGCAATTAGTGAACAACATCGCCAGGCAAATTGACTTTCCGACAATTTGCTACAATATCTTTTGTTGCATTTGTACGTCACATCAAAACCTTATGCATTTAAAGCAAGATCTTGGACAATATCTTTTGTTGCATTTGTACGTCACAAACGCCCACTTTGACTTCATTTGGCAAAAGCTCCATTCCACAGCTTGACAAACTCGGCTCATCGATGCGTTGAAGTCCTTTTGGCCTGGCTCGACACGTCGTCCTTGTAACCGCTGCAAATCCACCGGAGCACGCCATACGCAGGATCCCGGTAGATCAAATAGGACCCAAAGAGCTCTGCATGACCATCCAAATAATCCATGAGCTTGCTCTCCCACAACAAAGTCGTGTCGTGCCTTGACCCCTCGATTGGCCCCCAGAAATGAATGCAAAGTCC